CAGTTCAATGTTGAACGCCAAGGGTGAATTCCAGATCGAAATACGATACTCCGATGGGTTGAGGCTTCTCGAACTACTGGATATGTAACGAAGAGGAAGCCACCTGGCCTCCCCCGTACCGTTCCAACAACAGGCAATATCTAAATAGTGAGAAGAGAGGTCCTTGATAGTCCTCAACGGTCCACTAGGCGACAAGCTCCGAGGGCGTATGTCCCGTCGATTGTTACAACGCATTCTGCACGATTTACAATTTCATCCCTATAAGATAGTGATTGTGCAAGAGCTATCGGAAAGTGATTTTGCACAGCGTAGACAGTTCTGTGTGTGAATGCTGACCATTTTTGCTGATGATCCTAACGTCGTCATAATGATGAGTGACGAACCACACTTCCATTTAACGGGATATGTAAACCAGTAGAGCTGTAGGTATTGGGCGACCGAAAATCCACGAGAGCTACACCAACGACCCTTACATAGTGAAAAATTGACTGTGTGGTGCGTAATTAGTGAATTAGGTATTACTGGTTTTTTGAGGAGGAAGAAAGATCAGTACCTGTTACTTCAGCATATTATGTTCACATGTTACAAAATTTTCTGTTACCCGAACTTCAACGGCAACAAGTAAACATGGGAGAACTGTACTTCCAACAATACGGTGCCACAGTTCACACAGCCAGAGAATCAATGGAATCTGTTCGACAAATGTTTCCTGAACATGTGATTTCCCGTTTCGGCGATGTTCCTTGGCCTCCACGCTCCCCAGATTTGTCTGCATGTGACTTCATTTCGTGGGGTCACCTTAAGGCTAAAGTGTACTCTCACAAACCCCGTACGTTACAGGAAAAGAACATTGCTACTCGTCAGGAACTCGCAAGAATACCACAAGAAATGATCCTACGTGTAATGCAAAACTTTCAAGAGCGGTTGGAGCGCGAAGAAGGGCGGCACTTGAGTGACATAATTTACCATAATTAATTTAAAAGTGCACTATTATTACTTTATTTAGCTGTAGTTAAAGTAAAATTATCTTAAGCGTAAAAAATGTTATGCTTTCGCGAAAATCGTGCGTTTCCTCTGCGCCACCCTGTAGAAACCATTGGTCCGTTGCTTAAGGTGTGCGACTCTCAAAGATATTAATACTAGACAATTTAGGTTTTTTTGTTACTGCACACACCGGTAGCAGCAGCCCGTCTGGATGGATGCGAACTCAATTGATGGGTTGGGATGATTTTCTCTAAGGCAGGTCTTTGACTTCTTTTACATTTCTGAAAACGCATTATGCCTCCGACTAGTCATAATTCTAATTTTCTCATGTATCCTGAAAAGTTTGACTATCATTGCATGGTTATATCATAAAGATATTGTTGTCTCAGGATTCCGTTACGAAAGTATCTCTTAAGCCTCGTACAGACCGAAAATCCAACGCCGAGCGCACGAATGCAAGCACATGTGACGTTGGCGTTTGTTGTTGGAAGATATTGGAATGCTCTCATCTACACGTCGTCTACACCTATATTAAGTTTCCGAGTTGGACCGCGTCGGGTAAGTTCGGTGCTAATGTCGAGCGACGAGGACGATTTACTGCCGGCGAGTGCGAGGTTTTCAATAATACATTCTGTAATATCCAAGAAAAAGAAGAAACGGCCTAGGCGATAGTGTGTAACAACACCATTTAAAAATAGCGCCTTGTATCGTGGCAGTCACAACTTCTCTCCTCGCATCGAATGCAAACAAACGACTAAATACTATAAGCGCAACAAATCCTGACCAAATAAAACTTTCCTTTGATGTACCGATCAAGGAGCGAACGCAATCGAACGCCAAAGCCGACCATGGAAACCGTTGGCTTATGTTGACTCGTGCCGTACACACCGATTCGAACACCTCCAAATCTGTAACCACATATGCCTTGGGTTGCGTTGGAATCTCGGTGTGTACGCGGCTTTACACTCGCAGAAGTTTATTAAGTTGACTCCAAAAATTTGGATCGCTGGAAGCTCCTAAAGTGAACTTCTAGATAGTCGAATTCTTAAGTGTATCGAGATTTTCACGAGAAGTAAATAATATATAGATAGCTAGATAAATGTGTCTAATTTATAAAAATCAGCTACTAGCCCTAGTCCGACAATGACAAATCGAGACTAACTCGAAATGAAATTTTTAGAGGCTTACAACATGCCTAAATTCCAAAATAGCTGCTTTTTTGTGAATGCAATTACGTTTTTCAATCTTAGGGGCCATTTCAGGTAATAGGACCAGAAACTTGATCGAATTTGAACCGGTTTTTAAATTTATTTGCGTTTTGATTCGGCCTTTATCAGTAAGTCCCTATGGTTGAAGTACGGAGATCTCTAGTCCACCGAATTGTTATCGATCGTTAATCAAAATCGGCTAAAATATTATAATAAAATGACATCTTGTTCAATTTGAAGTGTTGAATGCACTGTTCATCTTTCATTTCGTTGTACAAAATGGGTCATCTCATACATAGTTACGCAAGTAGCTTTCATTAAACTAACTAAAGTTTCACCTAGACTACTGAAGCTTACTCTCAGTTTAATTGTCCTCGAGCAGATTACAATTCCGCATGGTGTAGTATCTGAGCTGAATGCAAAGGAAGCGGGACTCATATTTTATCTCGCGAATAATAGGAAACAAGATGCTCTGAATATAACTTTCCCTTGACCCAGTAATCCAAAAAGTTTGCCTCCGTTACGTCTTTTGTTTGGCTTTATCGGACTTAGGTGGACCTATTCTTCTCTTTCTTTTGCCGTAATAATTCAAAAATAGTTTTACCTTCTTTCTTCACACTGCTTTTAAAAGGTCCGTCTCATATTTTTTGAACAAGTCATGTTAGTAAGCTGAAGGGACGGATGGAACTGATGCAAAAATACGAGTACATATTATAACGTAATTTTGTAAATTTCAATGTTTTTCCAGATAGTTAGGGATGTCATTTTGGAGATCCTTAAGTTTGTTATAACTGTAGAACATAAAATCACTATCTTTCAAATGGCGTTGTCAGAGTTGTACATTTTTGTACATTGTGGCTTAACTAACGCTATAGTGTTAAGTTAATTTTTCTTCTCTTGGAAGTATCTGTCCAATTGTGTTATAAAATATGGAACATTCCATTTAAAAAAAAATCTAAATCTGCCAGTTGTTTCAAGCTTAAGAATGTTATGTTTCAGTTCATTTGTAAGGTGTTCCAAAATGATATCAAGCGACCCCCAATTCTACTTAAAAATATCTTAAGATGTCATCGAGCCGCTATCTTGAAATTTTCAACTATTTTGGCATGAATGTATAGTATTTATGCATCAACTTCATAATTCAGAATTTCAGCATGGTAACTGTTCGAAAAATAAGTGGAAGTACCTTGTCCAAAAACACTGTATACCGTGTAGCTTTCGGAGAAGCAAAAAAGTAGAGACAAGGCTTCGTGATCATTCATGTAAGAAGAGCATTTTAAAATTCAAGGTATGATAAAAATGCTTGACATGAGGAACATTGAAAAATGAAGTTCGAGTCACTCATCTTCAACTTTACTTGGATTACAACAAATTGCCTGTTAGTATAAAATCAGTCCCCGTGGATAGTTTATACAAGGCAAACATTACTGAACTGCTTCTGGTTAAAGCATATTATAGCTGCAGAGAGTTTTTTCGATGACACTCTTTAATCTTAAAACTAATCTTTCCTTTTTTCTACTCTAATTATGTTTGTATTTTTTTCTTGTGCATTATCTGTGTTTATACTGTAGGACGTTTAACGTATTTTTTGGATTTATACTTGTGTACTACTTATTGTTATTTATATTTTACACTATATTTATCATTTGTACCTATTTACTTTACTTCGGACATGCCAATGTACACATTTGTCTAACTGGTTAAAAAAGACAAACAAACATTACATTTTTTTAGTGTCTAGCGTAAAGTATCAGAAATGTGATGCATTGTATGTAAATTCTAGTTTACAGGATAAATATGATAGATGATGATACAATGTTGTTTCATGCATTTTAGCAATCATCAGTATGGTACAGGTCTAGTCATTGCAGAAATGCAAAGGAAGTCAAATAACCGAAAATAGGTCTACTGGAAAACTTGAGAACTGGACTTTAGTTCCCCAAAGGCGGTACTAGCAACCACTTCCTCCGCATCAGTAAACTATACAGTGCTCTGGCTACTCTGACTGATAGATCACTTCAATGAACTGGACATGTGTCGTCCAACACATAGGCGTCTCGTCTCTTAGGGGAATATCAGAAATGTCGGGAAACTGTTTGGTTTCCTGTTACCAACGTTGGCGTCAATAGTACCGCGCTTGGCAGGTCGGCTTGGCGAACTACCCATAGAAGGCTCTTAAATTACTTAATTGAAAGTGCCTAATCATTTATGTACGTAATCATCAATAGTAGGTCAAGCCAAACCATATTAGAGTAACACGTTGGATAACTGAAATTTTATTAGAATAAAGGTTATAAATGCATACACTTATTCCTGATTTTCCTTTCATTGCCACTATTAATTTTGCCGCCATGCCACATCAGTCTTTAATAGTGCAAATAATTGATGCTTGCGGAGCTTCTGACTATTTTAATGCTTGAATAAAATCTTTGTCGACAGGCATTGCTATTTATTCTCTAAGTTCTCGATCTTGAGGCGTTTCCCTCTTGCACTTTTCTAATAATTCTATCAGTTTGTAGTTTCCAAAATCGTGAATAAAAAACAGTTACTAGATGAAATTCGTTGAAAGTTGGAGAAGGTGAGTTTTATAGTTAAGGCTTCATTTATCACTTTTTCTTTATATTCAACTGATATATGACAATAATTGAAACACTCTTTTCGATTCATAAATATTTATTTTCGTTAAAATACAGTGACTACTTCTATAGTTCCTCATGTTCTGGAAATAATAACAAAAAAATCAATAACATTAGCATCTCAAACATGCCAAAAGACTAGAATTGTACTATAAAATCATGTTCTATGCATCTAATCAATGATGATGATGGTGATGATGGTCATCGTGGTGATCATGATGAATGCTGCTGAACCCTCCAAGTCCTGAACCTCCTCCAAAGCCGAATCCACCTCCGAAACCACCTCCATAACCTCCTCCAAATCCTCCAAAAGCACCAGAGGCACCGCTGGCAGCAAGTCCGATGTGAGAGTCAGTGTGTACTTTTACTGGTACTGGAACATCTACAGCTACTTTTGTTGGTACTGAAACTGGGTATGGTTTCGGTATTATCACATTGTATGGCTTGGGAACGGTCACGTGGACTGGAGTTGGTACTTTAATGAACTGCTTGATGGTGACCGGTACTGGGTATGGTCTTGGGACATGTACAGGGAACGGCCTTGGTACTTCTACTCTGACGGGCTGTGGTACTTCAACGGGGAATGGTCGTGGGACGTCGTATGGCCTGGGTACTGGTACACGCACTGGGTAGGGTCTGTCGACTGGGACTGGGACAGGTTGTGGTACTGGGATGTTGACAGTATGGGTCTGTTCAGAATAAGTAGTGCCTGCGTTCTCAACTCTGCCTGGTCCACCAAATCCGACGCCTGGACCTCCTGGTCCGAAACCTGGACCTCCTGGTCCGAAACCTGGGCCTCCTGGTCCGAATGCTGAGCCTCCTGGTCCGAAACCTGGGCCTCCAAGATTACCTCCCAGACCACCAAGTCCTCCAGCTCCTAGAGGTCCTGCTCCACCTAGACCGCCCGTTCCTGAAACAAAAACAAGATGTGACATCGTTAAGTTTTTTTCAGCTGCTATTTAGTCACTTTGAGCTATGCTTGTAGTGCCTGTTGTTACTTGGTAAGGAGGTTCTGCGATCCTAATTTACGCTATGGCATTGAAGAAAATCAGCAGTATAAGCAGTTAATGACCAAAATGTAGCGGAACCTAGCTCTGCACATAATTTGGGCCCGTAACTATAGGACGAAGCATAGTTGAGAAAATGACGATAACAATAGGCAATAGCTTACAGAAATTTGGCTAGAGCCAGGATGTTATATACGGAGGCGAATTTACGAAACAAATAAATCATGACCACGAAATCTAGATCATAAATTTAAAAGGTATTTGTTTTTTTTGTGATGTAAGAAAATGGTCTGCGATAAAAATATTTCTTCTGAATACTCACCGATGCCAATACCAATGCCGATGCTACCCGGTCCACCGGCTAATCCTCCGGGTCCAGCAGCGAATCCTGGTCCTCCACCGAATCCAGAACCTGGACCAAATCCTCCTCCATAACCGCCTCCGTAACCGCCTCCAAGACCGCCTCCGATTCCGCTACCAATGCCGATTCCAGAGCCGTGGCCGGCCTCCAAGTGGATGGCTGGAGCACCGTAGCCGTATCCTCCGGAAGAGATGGGCGGCGTGAGGTCAGTGTGGACAGAATGAGAGGACAAATGCCCGCACTCTACCAGGGCGGCCAGCGAGGCCCAACAAGCGATCAACTGAAATTAGTACAATCATATTAATATACAGGAGTTTCAGTGCGTAATTGGTTAAAAACTCGGTTATTTCGAAATATATCTAAAAAAGTAACAAAAAAAATTGCTGGGTACTTTACACATTCTGACATGACAAATATGCCGGTCTCTACAAGGTGTATCATAAGTACGTTGGACCACAACATACATTTATTCAAATGGAATACCTTATATATTATTTTGAAAGGT